CAGTGTGAGGGCAGAAGGCCCTGGACCCCGACTTCTGTGCTCGCCTCTGCATCAAGGGTCTCCGTGTTTGGAAATATTGAAATGATCCCAGACACGAAGGGGATGCCTCTCCTCTCCTTCACCTGCTCAGGATGTCCCTCACCTGACTGGGTTTGGGACTCCTTGAGGTCTCAAAAGTTTTCAGACCAAGCAGGTGGTTCCTTCCAGGGTCCTGTCCTCTCCTCTTTGAAGGGAACTCTGGCATCCAGGTTGGGATGCCTGCATGCCTGCAGTTTTCCTGCGTCCCCAGCCTTGGCTGTTCGGGGGAAATGGATGTGGTCACACAACAGGGATGTTTGTTCAGCACAGCGTGGTGTCCAGAGGAAGCAGTCTCCTTCCTTGCTTGTCCCTGCCGTAGACAGGGACCAGCGAGGCAGGAAAGGCTGCAGGACTCCGTGCGGGCCACTTTTTAAAAACAAGGTATTGAGGGGCAGCTGGGTGGCTCAGATGGTTAAGCATCTGCCTTCAGCTCAGGTCATGATCCCAGGGTCCTGGGATCGAGCCCCACATCAGGCTTCCTGCTCAGCGGGGGGCCTGCTTCTCCCCCTCCCTCTGCTTTTCCCCCTGCTCACGTTCTAGCTCTGTGTCTCGAATGAATAAATAAAAAAAATCTAAAAAAATAAAAACAAGGTATCGAGTGTCTAGCTGGTTCCAGGAAACCTGCAGCTTCTCCACTTATACGACGCAACTGCCCAGCTCTCTGGATGGCAAGCATGCGAGATTCTGGCCAGATTTCTGAAGAGAAAAGAAGCCACTGGAAGCTGTGGGCTTCCAGCTTGGACCAAGCTCACTTCGGGAATGCCAGCCAGGGCTGTCCCCTCCCCTCGGGCCTGCAGCCCCAGCTACCAAAGTGAAACAAGAAGGGCTCATGCTCCCTTGGTTTGGCGGGAGAGAAACTCACTGAAGAAACAGCCTCCCCCCCTCAGAGGGTCCTGCAAGCCTTCGCCACAGCTATGCGCTGCCCCAACTCCAAGGAGGCGCTCGGTCACCTCACTGAATGAACACAAGCCCCAAGGGGTGACTGTGCATGTCCCACAAGAGACCAGACAAATCACCAGGAATTTGGCCTCCACCTTAACCTGCTGAAGCGGTTCCTGGGGGAGGCCTCAGTGAGGTTCCCCCCCCCCGCCCCGCCCAGCATGGCAGGGGCCTCGGGGAGGGCGCAGTACCGGAAGGAGAAAGCACCACCACACTGCGTTTTTCCAAGTGTTACCCTTTATAAATAAGTACATTTGCTTTCATACATACAGTTCATTGTACGGATGGCGCTCTGTACACATGGGCAGGAAAATGCATTCATTTAACTTTTCACATCTATCTCACACAGCTCACATGTACAGACAATACAACTGCTCAAGCAAGTACAGCAAAGGAAAAGGTCTTTCCTTATACACAGGGGACTAGATGCCTCTGTCGGGTGTGGGCCATCCCCACTGCACGAGTTCACAACTGTGTGGTGTTCAATATATCAGGAGAGAGAACAAACATGCATTGGATAATATACTGTACAGAGAAAGTCCTTTACATCTGAGTCATAGAAAACCTAAAGGAAAACTAAGTGCATTAAAGCTTTTTCCAGCAAGTGTCTTGAAAGGACAGCAAAGAGGAGGAATCAAAATCATATTAGTACAAATCACTCTTTAATTGTAGACTGTACATGTCTGTACTAATTAAAATCATCTTGGATTTGGAGGAGACAGAACAGAGATGGAGATGCTGTGCTAAATGGAGAGGAGACCATGCCTGAGGACGGCACCTGCCCTGAGCCTGATGAGGAACTGGCCCCACTCAGCAGGAATCAGCCAAAGGAGAAAACAAAAACAAAAACAAACTGGAGCAGGAAGTGTAACTTACAGGATTTCCAAAATAACCTGTGAATGAAGGAGAGATCTGGAGCCGGCATTTCTTTTTTTTTTTTTTTCCCAGTAAGCTGGTACACAATAAGGCAGGTACATTCAAGTACTGAATTTCCAGAATTAACGGTCTGTCTGGTTCCAGGGACTGGAGGGATTGAGTGGAGTCCCCCTAACCAGGTGTTCTGGTTAGTGATTAGGCAAAAGAAAAATCCAGCCAGCAAGTGCTACAAAAACAAAGCAGCTAGGCTCCTTCCTTTCCAAAGAGTAGGTCTGTCTGAAAAACGAGAGTGATGCTGGCCTGCGTCTACATGCGTTCAGCTAAAACCTGGCAGGTCAGCTTCGTGGAGATTACCAGAGTCAGCAGGAAGATATGAGATGATATGGGTGAGGAAACATGAAAGTAACACTTGATTTTTGGTGTCCAATTACGCATTCATTTGGTACTGACTTTTCAAAGCTCTGACCGTGGCCATCGCGTGGCCACAAGCATCTCAGGGCGGTTCAGCAGCTGTGAGGCATTGGACACCGAAATGCAGGTTACCAACACTTCAGCCCTTCAGTGGTCTGTGTTATAAACGGAGTTGATGAAGACCCAGTGATTATTCAAGTAGCTCTGCACAGTGGCTCTACCGTTCCCATTGTGCTTGTGTCCAGGCCCCCAGCCAGCCACCTTTTCTGGGGAGCAGCCAGAGCTGAGTTCAAGGCATTGCATGGTGAAGGTTTCCATGACACGTCTTTGTAGGTAGCTCTTACCCCTAAGCCCTTTGTTCATTGTTAGTCCTGGTAGATGGTCAGTCTGGAATTCCTAGAGGAAAAGGAGAAAAAGCCACACCTCCCAATGCGCACGCGACGGGGCCGCATGGGCCTCGGTGTGGAAGCAGCAGCAGGCTGCCTTTGCAGGTTGGCTTCTTGAGAAGTGGGCAGCCCAAGGACAGACAGACAGGGGTGGGAGAGGCTGGGACAGGGAGGGGGGAACACCCCCCACCCCCCGGGGGGGGGAGCCTGTTCCATTTGGTGGCAAAGATTCAGTGAGCAACTGGTTTTGTCCAAGGCATTTCTGCAGTAGAAAAATAATGATTTTTGAATCAAACCAGCCAACCGTGACATCTCTGAAGTTATAAAAGTTGGAAGCCAAGAGGAACTGAGAGGGAGGCTCATGGGGAGTAAAGGAGGCTTCCTCATACCCACCCATCCACCAGAGCAAGGGAATTCTACTCAGTTCTCCCAGCCTCTGCCTGGCTGAAGGTCCAAAGCGGGTAGTGTTCAAAGAGCTTATCGTGCCACAGCGGGCACAGATACATGAAGACCCCCTCCGCAGGCCTCTGCCCCCTCCTTCCTGAACCTTCTGGACCTGCCTGCTGACCTGGGAGCGGCTCCTCCAGGGGGCCGGGCTGCCGTTCTTTGCCACCAGACAAGCCTGGTGCAGAGCCACAGTGACACCTAGTGGTAGAGTATGGTTGAAGCAAGGTGACGTCCACATAACCCACCGTATAGGACTAAAATCTAAGGAAAATACTTATGGATATTAAATTAGATACTGGTTAATTTTTCTATTGGGTACATCTCTGGAATATAAAAATACCAATATTTAGAGAGGGGTTCATAAACTACTATACAATATAAGGACCGAGAATACCTTTCTCTAGGCTGTTCTGTTTACAATAATTTAGGAAAAGTGTTTAATAATCCAGGCTTAACTAAATTAGCAAACTTGTATCTCTGGACAACGACCTGGGGTACTGTACATGATTCTAATTAGTGGAATTTTCCTGAGCCTTCGAGTTTAAGTTAAACACATCTAGAAGGAGGGGCACATGGGAGAGGAACAAGAAGGGTTTGTGCTCTATTAACTTGGGGCTTTAATAGTGCACGTCTGCAACCCGGACGAGATACAACAGCAGATACAAAATGGTCTCCATTTTGTCCGTGCCAAATTCTCATGTTACACAGGTTTTCCCTTTACTTTGTAAATAAACATTAATTTTTAATTGTTAATTGTGTGCCTTACTGATCCAGTAAATAAAGTAACCATGTCTCAGGAGTCCCTAAGAAAATTGCTGGAAAAGCACTTTAAAATCACTGCAAATATTTTTTGTATTTAAAAATTCTTAATCTTTTTGATGCTTATATACAAGTTATTTTTTGTGCTATAAATGTTGTGATCCACTGCTTGATTTCTTTCCTTTTTTTCCTTGAAAGATACACTAAAAGACAAGAGCGGTTTTGCTATTTTCTAATGAAGACATTACGCACACTTAAATATCCAGTATTTATCAGAGTTACAAATTCAAACAGTAAAGTGCACCCATTTATAGACATGATGTGATGGGAACCCATTAGTGCAAGAATTCTGGGTGAACGAAACGTACAATTTGGTGAGAAACCTAGAGGCTGAGGTTTGTTACCACTGTCTCCATTTCAGGGTGATGTGAACTGGGTGAGTGGAACTTACCAGGTTCATTTGAAAAACTTCCCCCACCGGAAGCCAGACATCGATTCAGCAAGTGTTGCCGGGGGAGAGGGCATCTCGGAGATGCGGTAAGACGAGCCCATGGCAGTGAAGTAGCGCAACAGGGCACAGGCAGTCTGCCTACAAGGAAAAACGGTCTCCCGCCCCCAGGAAGGTCCAGTTGGCATTTTCTAGTCACACTCAACTGGCGCCCAGTAGTAATATTCACTCCCTCTTACAATGGCTAACAAAGAGTTGCATTTTGACTGTTTTAAGTGTTTTGCCCAATAAGGCATAGACCCTAAATTTCCGGTTTGTCCAGGAAAACCATGAGAGACCCTGGGGACAAGCGACCTCTGGGGCGAGTCTGTGAAACGCAGAACCCGCTTGCTCTCCGAGAGAGCAGAGTACAGGTTGCATGTGTGGCGTTCCAAATAAGCAGGGGCACTTCTCTGACAGACGTAGATGTTCTTCAAGAATGTAGCAGCAGCTCCTCAGTGAGGTGCTCAGGAAGGGAGGAGAAGCAAAGGGCCCCGTGGGGCTGAGACCTGGACAAAGAAGAAGCCGGGCTCCTGGCTGTGGGCTGGTGCTACAGCTGGACATTCCATCTTCTCGGTAAGAGAAAGAGAGGGAGAAGGGAAAGGACAAGATGCCGGTGCCCACCCTGGGCTAGCTGAGTAGGACACAGGCCCTAGGCATCAGAGAGAGTGGGAAGGGTCTGGGTCTTGAGCTGGCCCAGCTGTCTGCTTCTAGCACAGAGAGACAAGTCCTGGCCTCTTTCAAGCTTGGGGGCAGAGGGGTCTGTCTACTTGGGAGACTCCAAATTAGTAGAGAAATGTTTCTGATCTCAGCTTCATGCTCCCTATATCTTAGTGATACTTTCAGAGGACACTTACTATTACAAACAGGTCTGGTCACATCTGGATTTTTAGGGCAGGAAACTGCCCTTCCAATAGCCCTTTACTAACAGGAGCAGAAGGATTCCTAGTAACAGAGAACAGATTCTCTTTTGCTCAGTTTCTTAAGTTTTCAGAGCTGACGTGCAGTCAGTACCAGGCCCGTGCTAAGGCTTTGGTTTCAGTGTTCTTACTGTCCATCTCGTGCTGGCCTCAGTCACGCAAAGGACAGGTCAGCAAACGACCACAAGACACGGAAGGGTGCAGGCTAACCAGATCAGAAGATCTGCTGTCTCACGTGCTCCCACCCAGGGCTGAAAGGGGTCTGTCTTCTCCATGAAACACTTTGCAGTGTCTGGTTTTCAAAGATCGCTCCCCAAACACTCCTACCTCGAAAAAGGAAAAGAAGAAACAATTCCTAGAGTAATAGATTACAGAACTATAGATCTCGAAAGAGAATCAGATGACGTCTGGCACAGGGTACAATGGCCCTGGGTGCAAACTTCAGGAATAAAGTCTTACGGTCCGGAGAGAATTCAGTTTGCTTCTCAAGAGAACCAGTTTCTTCACTATACCACGTAGGCTGAAGAAAGGAGGGCCGGGAGGACACAAACCTGGCTCTGGGTGCAGAGCCAGCTAACAGGGCCAGTGTACCAGTCAAACCTCGGCAAGAGTTTGCTTTTGTGGAATATGATGCTCAGTGATTATCTCAGGACCTATAAAGCAGATTTCTCCAAGACAAAGATGTTCTCTAGCCTTTCACTGAGAATCCAGAACAGTCTTTCTTCCTCGGTCTCTCTTTCTTTATATTTATGTATTTCCCCCCTCCCCCCACCACCCATGGAAAATGAGTAGATTTTTAATAGTTGTTGGCTAAAAACCTAAAGAATACCTCTCAGTGGATTATTTAAGAATATCCATGATTCTCATCCGATTTCCTTTGCTGAGTGAAATATTTAAAGGGCTGGTTGTTCTCTAAATATTCATAAAACACTTCTTGGAAAATCAATGTAGTGACATTTCAAATAATTATGTATATATATTTTTTCTTCCAATTTAATAGACCCATTTCTTCTCTTTTTCCTTGATCCTTTTGCCCCCGTAGGAAGACCAGCAATAACCTACACGCACGTTCTAGACCTGATGACTGCAGGGAGCTGGCAGTCCAGGGGAGGAGACCATGGCACAAGAATGCACTGGGGCTGGCTATTTGGATAACACTGGATAAGAATGCAAAGGCAAAGGGGCATCATACTCTTTCTAAAGTTCCTAGAAGAAAACAAACGAGAACACCTTATTTTTGTAAAAAAGGAGAAAGACATTCACACAACAAGAACATCAGTGAAAGCGATTGTCTCCTGGAAAAAGCTGACCAGTGTGTCTGATCTCCCTGGGTTAAAGCACACGGCACAACAATCTCCTCGTTGGCGTCGGAAGAGAGGGAGAGAGCATGTGGCGGGGGCACAGACGGGAGAAACTGAAGTCCTGGCTCGCTGGAGGCCAGCTTCCCGGTCGGCTGCATGCAAAGAACTCCAGCATGTGGGCTGCCACCTCTGAACACCACACAGAAACTACATGAGAAATTAAGCCAGGGAACTACCTCAGATATGGAAACCAAGCCTGAAAATGTGCAGTGAAAACATATGGGTCTCACTCCAACAAACGTCTTTTAAACATTAGACTCCACAAATGGTCTCTTTGGTTTGATAGGGGATGTCTGCCCTTGTCGAGAGTCCCGGGACAACTGCCTATACAGGTTGTCCTGGTATGCCTGAGCCACAGGGAGGGTCCGAGCCACCTTCACATCGGGGTATGAGGAGGCCTGGCCGACTCTCTCCAAGAGGTCTCCACGGGACCCGTTAGCCAGCATCCCATGGGGGCTGTAATAATCGTCCTCCAGCAAATGGCCATTCTGTGCATTGTTGGTTTTGTTATAAAAGGCAATGTTGCTGATGGATGATGGTGGACTGAAGGACTCAGGCTGAGGCAGGTTGCCTGGAGACGTGGGACTGAGAACGGTATCCACGGATGACACGGCCCAGGTCCGATTCTGCTGGTGAAGGTGGGGGTACTGTTGAGTCCGGGCTGTTTTATCTATGATCCCCATGAATGGTGTGGTCCTGGATCGGGTGGGCTCACTGGGGTAACCTCCCTGAGTGGGAGACACTGGTGACAGCTCGTCACATGACCTATCATACGCCGGTTTTAGTGGGATCTCCATTTGTTGAATCGAGGAAGATGGCCGGAAGGTAGGAGTGAGGTTGGAGGCTGATGAGATACTATTGCTAGATGGAGAGAAGCGGAGGCCCACGCTCTGGGAGTGTAGCAGTGGCCTGGGAGTTGGTGGATGGGGTTTGATTTCGTTCGGGTTGACACTAATAGGTCTTCTGATTAAATGTGACACATCAGGGGAACCTAGCTGGCTGGAGGAACGCTCCAGATCTAGTTTGGAGTGACAGACTGGGTAGTAGGATGCGGACTGACTACGTCCAATCTGTGGTGTCTGGCTGTATCTCATACCACCTCGATATGCTGAGGAAGGTCGCTGTGGAAGGTCTTCTTTGGTCAACCCTCCATGCTGACAGATGGCACCCGCACTCAGGCTAGCCTGGACATGCTGCACAGGTCTCCCATCCCCTACGATCCCCCCAATTGACCCTTGATAAACCAACCGGCTCTGACTTACTCCCATGTCTCCTTGTGAAGACTGGTATTTACTAGCCATCGAGTGGGCTACTTGGCCATAGGCCCCTGTAGAGATGACGGTGCTTGAATGAACTGCTGAGCTGGGCTGGTTGCTTCTCACAATCTGGGCCTTGGCAGGCTGTAGCCTGAGCCCTTGCTGGGGAACTGCCACAGGAAGCTGAGGCATCTGGTAGGGCCGCTGGGCCATTTTGGATAATGGAGATTTTGGTCTGCCAGGAAGCTGACTCACATTTGTTTCTTGCTGATAGCGCACGGGTGAGCCAGACTGGGATCTATAGACACTCATGCTTTCGGCTGGAGGGCTGGCCCGATACTGAGGGCCTCTTCGGAGAGGGGAAGGGGGAGGGCTTGGGTATTCCTTGCCCTGTCCTCCCACGGGCGGGGGGCTAAAGCGGTAAGACCCGCTCTGGTGGGCTGGGGAAGTGTGTGGCGGACTAGGCCTGTAATGAGAGTTCTGGTGAGTTGGAGAAAGAGCGGGTGAGGTGGACTGATAGCCCTGTCTGGTGGGAGAACCTACGGAACTACTGGAACGGAAGTCAAAAACCTGATGTGAGCCAAGTGGTGAGCTAGAGATGTAGGCGGAGTCCCGATGGGCTGGAGAGGCAGGCGGGCTCTGGATTATCGGGAGCCCCTGACTGGGCCGAGCCTCGGTCTGGAGGCCGATGGAGACGTTTTCGACTTCCTGTTCCAGGTACTCCTCCTCGAATATATCCTGTACAGAGTATATATCTTCGTGCTGTGGTTCGGGTTCCGTTTCTTCCGGGAGCGGAGGCTGAGGCGGCTGCTGAGGCGGCGGCTGCACCTGGCGGCACTCCTCCTCCACTCGCAGCAGGAGTCTCTGGATCTCACGGTTGTTTGGGCAGAGCTTGATGGCCTCGTTCAGATCCTCTAAGGCTGCTGCAAACTGTCTGCTTGACAAAATGTAAACACAGGAACTGGAGTGATTCTGAATCAACAGGAATCACCAAGAGCTGAGAACGCGGTCGCTACTGCAGAGAACTGGGGGGTAGCATCTGGGGGGTGGGGTGGGTTTGTTTCGTTGGGTTTGTAAGGGAGGAAACAGGTAGGCTGTCATTCTGGAAGAGTCCAGAATGCTTCCTTAGCCTGTTTAGCCTCCATCTTCCTTCTGGCCTCTCTGGGATTAGCAGAGAAGTGGCCCCACTTTGTCAGTCCAGCCAGGCCCTTCAGGAAGATTCTCTTAGTGCCCAAATGCACACCAGGCAGTAGGAGGGTTGGGTGGGGTTGTCATTTACAGGGTCACTGTCAATTAGCTTAGGAACAAAACAGTAACTACAATATTTAAAAATCTTGCTGATCCGTCATAATTTTTTCTTTATATTCTTAATATTTTGGCTCCAAATTTCAGGCCTGTTCCGTCCCAGGCAAGAAGCCCGTCTTCTGCCCTTTGTTCCCCACTCTCGCCCCACAGCACTGTCGCTCCTCCGTTCAGCTACATCAGAGCTGGGCAGGGATTAGGCTCGCTGACTAGGCCACTCAGATTCTAATTTACAGATGAGGACACGAACTCTCAGAGATAGTCCAATCCTCTCTATTAATAATCGCCCAGGAAAGGGGCAACTGGCCTTGTGGGGAAGGAATTCTCTGGGGAAAAAGAGAATTTGACAGTCAAGCTTCTGTAAGGACTTTGTTCCCCCAGCTAGTTAAGACTAATGTTATCGCCACTGTCATCACTAGACTTAACCTGGGCTTGGATTTTCAGGACCATATCTTCCCCTGGCCTCAACAGTGAATGTGAAGCAGGTCTTTCCCAGGGAAGAGTTTGGGAGAAGGATGGGGCACCAGGCAGGAGGTATCAAGGACAGTGACAAGTTATCCAAAGATCAGTGATGGCAGGTTCTAGGTCCTTCTGGAGCCTTTCCTGCCCAATTTGGCCAAGCCACAGCAGATGGACACGGGGGATGGAGTTTCCGAGTTTCTCTCGGGCCCCCTCAGTCCCGGCAGCAAGGACCTCCTGTCTCCGTGAGGGTGTGGTGTGGCGGTAGTGGTGACCTGGGTGAGGAGGAGGGCCGACGCCGCCAGACTTGAGGAGAGCTCTGGAAGCTAAATAATCCAGGGGCCCCTTGGACGCCTACGGGACAAGAGGGGCCTGTGGCGTAAGTGACTCGTCCTACTTTTCCTTCTAAAAGGGCCCGGAGGATGTTCTGCTTAAGTGACCTCTTCTTAAGTCACCAGTGTCTCTTTATGCTGTCTGTTCTAGGGGTCAAAAAGTGAGTGAGAGATGGCAGGGGCTTCGTGGAAGAAGCGCCATTCTCCAGCAATGCGAAGGCATCTTCCTCCCAAAGTGAATGTTCTAGAGCTCCACAGCCCTGAGGATCTGCCAGTCTCAAGTGGAGTTCTGTGCTACGGGAGCCGTCCCCAAAGCGTGTCCCTCAAAGTCCTCAGGGATAGACACATTTGGGTACATATGCCCCAGGATGGCCTACATTGCCTTGGCCAGATTTTCGGAAAAGAGACCTCTTGCTCGTCACCCTCTCTCTCTCTCCTCACCTGCTGCTGCGTTTTGCCCTTGCTCTTGCATAGTAAGCTTCATAAGATTTCGGTTTCAGCTCCAGGGCCTTAGTAGCAAATTCCTCCGCCATTCCAAAATCCTGTCATTACAATAGGTGTGCAAATGAGTCATTGAAGAGATAGGAAAAATAGACAATTTGGGAATAAAACAGATTATACGTACATTTCTTTGACATTTATGGATGGAACACCTGGGATTCTCGACATGCCTGGCATGGCTCTAGCCATGTGGCCCAGACTAGAAGTTCCTTCTGCCTTTGCCCTGTGTGGCCCTGCAACAGGTCCTGGGAATTTATCTGCCCAGAAGCATTAAAATACTTTTAATGTGCCTTCCTTCTGCTTTTCTAATGAAGCTCCTTCCAGCCCAGAAGCCAAATGTGAACCCAACGCAGCTCCTGAAGTTGGAAACCTGACCCCTTGATACACATGCGTGTAGGAAGGCAAACACAGCCATGTGCCTCTCACGGGGCCTCAACCTACCCCCCAGCTTCCTGTCGCACCCACTATTCCTCTGCTTCCTAAGGGGTGAGTGAGGTCCAGCAGGATGAGGTCTGTGGGAAGGAGAGCTGCACTGACCATGGAGACTAGATGGGGTCGGGGCGCCAGATGGACTTGGGTTCAGTCCTTTGGTCGGCCACATAGCCCCTCAGAGGGGGTAGTGTGTTTTCTCATCCATACCTACTTCGCAGGTGGGATGAAGTGTGATGATGCATTTGAAAGCCCCAAACACCATTTCTGGCACATAGCAGATGCTTAGTAAATGGCCTTTTCCTTCTCTTAACTGGCTTCTTACTTAGGAAGCATTTAAAACGACAACAAAAATATAGTAAGAGAGGGCCCTGGCTGTGACTGGCGTTCGTGCGGTCACCTCATCTCTTGCTCACTGAGGCTCCCTGGAGGAGTGTGGTCTCATCTGTCCTCATCTGAGAACCCTGGGAACAGGGGCCTGGGGAACAAAGCCATGGTTTTAAAGATACCCCTCCATACTGAGCTAAAAGAAGAGTTCTTTCTCTTCTTTCATTCAATGTCAAAGCCTCAGGACGGCACAGTAACCTCTGGTGACGCGCGTGATTCCAGAGGCAGAACAAAGGCCTGGGGCACAGGTAGAAATCAAGGAAAAGTAACGAGCCATCTAAGACTGAAGAAGGCAGACCTCAGCTGCTTCATACAGTGCTGGTCACGGGAGCTGCCTGCTAACTGTTCTGAGCAAGTGTGGAGCTAGAGAGGGAGCATTCCATCTCACGGGAGGCATCATCTATCACTACTCTGTTTCCGATCTTATCTTTTAATGTTTTTCTTTTTCTTTTGGACAATCATCATTTCTGGCAAGATGAGAATGCTTTTAAGAAGTAGATTATTTGTTTAAGCAAAAGAGAAGGCAATGGGCTGGCACTGGCTCCGGAGTGTTGTCTCATCCTCAATGGCTGGTGCCCTGGGGGACCCTGGGTACCGCGGGTCTGGTTCTGTTCCACAGAAGAGCCTCACTGCCTTCCCCTGGGGCATCTCCTTCCCACGGGAACTGCTACCCTGGCCACATTCTCCTCAGCACCATGGGGCCACGCTGCCTCTTCGGGCCATAACTGTGTTCTCTGGGACATCCAGGCTCTTCTCACTGCCAGGGTTTAGATGGAGAATGCGAGGGTCGTACACACAACCTCTCTGGACTTGACAGTGGACCTCTTGCCCCTGCAGCTGAAATCTCACTTCCGCAAAGCTGAGCTCTCTACTCATCGGCATTCTTTTTTGGGGTGGATTGTTTTTAGCTCCTGAGGAACTGTGAGACCTCAGGCAGGGGGTTATCAGAGGTTCCTGACACGATCTCAGCTATTCCCAGTCTCTGAGAAAGGATTCTTGGCCTGGGAGCATCTGTGTGTCACGTGAGCAGTGGCTGAGGGCACCAGACAGTTTCTGTATGGCAGGCAAGAAGGACCAAGGACTACACGGCGGGTAACAGACGGCCAGGAAGAGTTCTAAGATTCCCTCTGGGACAAGAAGGGACATGGCATGCTGGAGTAAAAAGATGAGGAAAGGAGCAAAAAGTTCAAGATTAGCCTTTGAAATAAACCTTGAAGTCCATGGTCCTGAGTCCTCTCTCCAGCCCTTCCTTAAGTGACTAGGGGTCTACTAGAAAGGAAGGGAGTGACTACAATTCATATCTAATTGAAGCTAGAATTCTAGCGACCACCTGCTCTCACATTTTCCCAAAGACCAGAAAACTGACTTGGGGGTAGGAGACAATGATGATGGTATTCCAATCACTTTCAGTGTGAACTAAAAATTCAGAAAGCACCAAAAGTGCCCACAGCATTAACTTTTTCACAGATTAATATACGGATTGTGCTTAGACTTGATTTCTTTCAAATTGCAAATGTCAGTGCTCTGTGAAGGACAACCAAGTTCCAAATGGGGCCGAGAACGATTTTAGGGGCCTGGTAAGAGACAGTGAGTGATGTGGGCTGTCAGCTTCCAGGGCCGTAGAAAGCAGCTGGGAGGAGAGGGACTTACGTTCATTTTCCTGCGACATCGAGAGAGGTTGAGGAGGAGAGACACCTTTAGTTCCCGGAAGGTTTTCAAGTCCTCACCAAACCCTTCTCGAGGGAATTTCTTCAGGGCGTACTGGTAACGCTGGGCAGCCTCCTTCACTTTACCTTTCTAATGGGAGTACAAGATGGCAAAACACACAGTTGGTCTGCTGAGCAGCTGAGGAGGTCTGGCCCCGCTCCCTTCCTTCTCTCTGCAGTGATTATTAAGTTAGCCCTCCCAAACTCCAGCCTGGGGAGGAGGGCTGGCCCTGCTTGTGAGAGCAGAGGGTCCAGTCTTTTCAACAGGAAACTCACCTGGCAGGAAGGGCAAGGTTGAAGGGGATACCCAAGGCACAATCCAGAGAACCAATACCAGGAACCCCCAGCTTCCTGACCAGATTCCCAAGAGACTGATCTTGCTCATTTCAAAGGAGCTTTTTCTTGACCTGATCTCCTTGGGACACATATCATTTCCTAGTCCCAACCACTCCAGAGTTACTACTACTTCTTTACTTTTGGCTTGCCTGGAAAACTCTTCCATTTGATGCTCCTCCTTGCCAGTCCTCTAGAAGAGGTCATTCTCTTCCTCACAAAGGAGGTGGGAGCTAAAACGGTCTACCCGTTGCTTCCCTAATCTCAATGCATAAAATAGTATGTCAGTGTTCCCGTTTTTAGAAAAGCCTTGGGGTAGGGTGGTAGTAGAGAAGTTTAGAATTTGTGATCCATCTGTGTAGGAGAGCCTTTCCAAGATGAAGTAAATCTATGACCAATTTAGGGACTTGGTAACAGGGGCCCTGAACTTTCCTTACATTTTGTGTCTGAAAATCTATCAGCTAATAAATACATACATACACACATGAATAAATAAAAATAAAATAAAACAAATGAAAATCTATCAGCTGAGCTCAGCATGATGCAGGAGGCATCTCCCATTCATTTAGCTGATCTTAATCGGCTGTATTCCTTCTGTACAGCAACTCCACCAGAGAGTGCAATCTTTTCATTTTCTCTTCAGCACCTTTCATTAAGGAGAGATCTGGAGTCTACCAAGGTAGAATTCTGGGTGGGAACAGTAGTAGCTCTGCCTATTCTTATTAGGAGGTAGGACTCCTTGTGTTGGAATATGAGAAGCTATATTAGATTCTTGAGAGCAATGCTATCCCCAAGTCCATAAATAGGACACCTAGAGTTAATGAGGCCCTTCTTGGAAGTCATGTGAAATCCTGGCTGGGTCAGGACTCAAGTTTCCTAGAAGCCCAAGATTCCTAGATTATCATGACTTTCACACGGAGCATCCTTAGGAAACACAACTCTTCCCCCAGGAACTCAAAACATCCCTTACACAGGGGTGGGTGGGAGGTGGTAATAATGTGCTTCATAATCATTTCCCATCTTTGGGCCTCTGATATTTCAGTGAGGTTGGATTTATGTTTACCTTTAGGAGAAGAAGACGCTGCTAATCTTAACCAGATAACTGTGACATGTGATCGTCTTCTTCATTTTTTTTTTTTTTTTAAATTTAAGTAATCTCTACACCCAACATGGGGCTCTAACTCACAACCCTGAGATCAAGAGTTGCAAGCTCTTCTGACTGAGCCAGCCGGGTGCCGTGTCATGTAATGTTCTTTTGGGATTTCCTATAGGCCACAGCAGAGAGTCTGTGTTAGGATATTGGAGCCTTCAGCTTGAACTGTGACTACAAAAAGACTCCATACTTTTTCTGTTGTCATTCAGTGAGTGACTTTAAGAAAATCTTATAATTGCTATTTGTCTTGCTTTCCTTATCTTAGGGATGTTGACAAGCTATTATCACTACAGACTTTAAAATCTATATTTATATATTAAATATGAAAGCAAAGATCAATGTCTCTTTCTCAGACTAAAAAATAGCTGTACTACATAATTTTACTTTACTTGTCCCATGAGTTTCCAGGTCCCACTTAGCAGATTCCACGCAGAATCTAGGTAACTGCCTGTAAGTGACCAGATAAAATTAGGTCTTCAAGTTGATCAGCTGCAGGCTTATGTAGGTCACTCTTGCTCTCTTATTGGGAAATTAAAAACTCAGGATGGTCAACTTAGGAGCCCATCATTGAGGGATGGCATTCTCCCTTTGCCTCTAGAGCTGAGGATGAGACTGTCAAGACTTTAGGAGATTCTACAGGTAGAGAACAGTCAGTGGCTGCTTTGAGGAAACTGTTCCTTCCTCCCCTCACCTTATAAAACATGTCCCCCTCTTCCATCAGCTTGCTCAACAGGATGATCATGATGTCTGGTTTGGAGGTGGCCATCGCCCATGTGGCTGGACCTGTAGTGTACAGGATGCATGATGGGTAAAAAACTCAGACAATGTGAGGGTGGCAGGAAGCTAGGTGAAAAAAACATCCTGGGGGATTTCTGCTGAGAGAACAACTTGCTCCACAACAACTTCCTCATCGTTTAGACCTGGGAGTATCTTAGGGACTCCCACTGCCAAGAAGCTGCGCTGGATTTGTATTCACCTTAAAATAAGAACATCTGAACTGTCTGAGCCTGCGCCACAGGAGGGCAGCAAAGCCTGCCAACGTGTTGTATTTGGGCAGGCCATGGCTTAGTCCGGAGTTGTTTTAAATGAGGTTGGGAGAAAGAGTTTACATTCAATGTCACCAAGAGATTTAAAAAATCCAAAAAGGGCAGTTTATTTTAGAACCCGGGACTCAAAATCCCTAGCTGTTTAGTCTCTTAATTTAAAAATATGTCCTTTGCAGAAAGGGGAACCATTAAAGATTCTAAAGGCTCCCTTAATTTTAAGTAAGTATCAAATAGGCCTCCCTGGGATTTACTTCGAATGTCAAAAGACATGAAACAAGCCAACATGACTGAGGACTACTTTACCCACAAAGAGAAAGAAGAGGTTAAACTGATTAGTTTATAGACGCCTGAATTATTTACCAACTAAGCTTTTCAGGGTTAGTTATCAAAAGTTCAAGTTATTCTCTACAACAGTCGTTAAAAAAAATCTTCTTTTAAGGTGAAGTAAATTAAAAGATTAGAGGTGTAGGGAACTCATGCAGGCTAAATCAAAGAGGAGAAGGCAAAGCTGACCAAGCCATCAGACCACGCCTGATGCTGACAGCGGTGAAATATACCTCGTGGGCGACTCGGTAACGTCTGACAACCTTCAAAGAAAGGAGAAAACAAAAAGTTGTAGGAGAGGAAAAAAAAATGGATGAAGGTGAAAAAAAAAAAAAAAAAGAAGGAAAAGCAGCAGTGAGAGGCAGGCAGCAAAAAAGCCAGCATATCAGCCAACCCTCGCCTACAGGTCTGTGGGACGGGGGCGTGGATGGGACAGCAGCAGCAGGGACCGGAGAGTCTGAAGCACATACAGAGCAGGGGAAAGCAGAGGCTCATGGCAGTGCAGGGACCAAGGATGCTCACGGGTGGGGCTGGCACAGAGGCGTTGGCCCGAAGATGTGCTTAAGGTTAGAGCAGCCTCGTGGCTAAGGCGACCAGGGGCACGGCAGATAACCGGGTGATTCTGGCACAGAGCAGTGGCGACCATGGCTCAGAGGGTGCTTTCTCTGGGCCAAGAGCCTTTCCGTTCACTTGGACAACAACTGGGCCAGGGCAGAGGGGGAGCTATACACACTCACACCAAACACCCAGGGCAGCCAGACCACTGGACCAGTCTGGCCCCCGGGCACAGATGGCCAGGACCTTCTTCCTTTCCCCTACCTATCTTGGCTCCTTTCTTCAGAAGAGTGACAACAACAGAAGTGTTCCGGCACCCCACTGCTCTATCCAGAGGGCGCATTCCGCTGTAGTCGACATGCTCGATCATGGCCCCGTGATCCACCAGGAACTGGACCTAGGACATGGATCAAGCAGAACAGTTAACACAGGGCCAATGGCTCAGCACCGCTCCACTGAGGGCTCTGGCTGCTGCCTGGACTTGATTCAACCGCTGGTCTGAACCAGGCCGGGTAGTAGCCATGGGACTTAAGGCCACAGTTGTACTCTTGGTCTTTAATGGTGTTTTGAATATTCCTGTCCTCTAGCAAGTACAGGTCCAAGAACTTTCTATCAGGAATCATCAACATGTTACTCTACCCTTAACCCCCGAGAACATTACGGATGGAGAACCCTCCCTGTCCCTACCACCCAAAGGCCCGTGTAAAGGCACTCACCACCTCGGCATCACCGTAGAAAGCTGCCAGATCCAGTGGGGTGCGGCCGTTCTTGTCAGCGTGGTCCGTAGCAGCCCCATTATCCACCAGAGAGCGCACTACTGAGAGATGACCCTTCAAACAAGCCCAGCTGAGGGCTGTCAGTCCTTCTTTGTCCATGAGAGCAATGGAGGCACCTGGAAGGGCGAACGCAGCACAGGGCTGAGGAAACACGAAACACGGGGCCATCCAGAGCAGGAGGGCAGGCTGCACGCTCTGTCGAAGCACAGTCACGTCTGCTTCCACGTGGGGAATCTTTTCATTCCTGCCTCACTTTTACTCATTCTGTAGGGACCATTCCAAATCCCCCCGTTTCCAGGAAGCTTCTCTCGGTTCACTGTTCACCTCGTCTTCAATGTGCTTAACACATGTCACCTTATTCTGTTCTTAATCTTTTTTTTATGTATCCTACTTGCATGTAATAAATTCTCAGTGAATGTTTTCAGGACTCAGCAAAAGTCTTCCTTTTGTAATAGTATAAACTCCTGGAGAGATTCTCATAAAACAGAAGGAGCTCAGTCCATGTTTATCACTGGTGATAGCACCAGGCCAGGCTCTCTCTCCCTAGAATGCGGGGGAGATGAACTCATGGGAAGAAACTGAGCCCAGGCCACAAGGAAATTCAGAGTTTAATTAAACTTGTCAGCCTTCAATGATCCCATCCTCACTCTCTTAGCCTTTCTGGTATTCTACATCTGTTTCTCTTCAATGTTCCTATATTTTCATCTGTAAGGATCAAGCATACTTGATACACTGTTTTGTAATTAGTCTAAAATTCAATATATATTTGGTTCTTAGCCTAGACTGTAAGCTCTTGGATGGCAAAGGGACTATCATTTCCTTGCTACTTTTGAAGAGTACCTAAGACAATTCTTTTCACACAGTTGACATGGCACACTAACTAAATTAGGATCAACTTACTGCCTACAGAACACTTTCCAGGCTGCCTCCTCAGCTAGACAGGGGTCAGATGTCAGATCAAGCTTAGCATGTGCCATAGCTAGGCTCAGGGTCTACTCAGCAGTTCTCTGGCCTATCATGTTTTTACTCCTAGAGGTCAGACAACCAGACCTTGTGGCTTCCCACAGCAGGATGAAGGGCTGGAAGGGACCATACCTTTAACCCTCCCTGATGACAGCCATTTATGTACTGGGTTTTCTTTTCACAATGGTATAGTTTACAATGAAAACATTGACTCAACACAGAATGAATTTGAATGTGGGAGAGAATCTAATGAGTTTTCTCAGATGGACCATCTGTAAATTCCCTGGACAGAGCCTCCAACGGTAGAAGAAGCAGGATAAGAAGGTTCTGGATGTATATTACAGATAAGCTGATTTTCCAAAGATAAGGAACGCTGGAATTTAAGAAATTAATAGGAGATACATATGAAATAAACCCATATATTCAAAATGCATCCAAAATTCAATATGTAATCTTCCCCTTCTCTCTTTTCTTCCCATTGCAGTTAGTAGAATCACACGTCTTCCAAACATCCACTTCTAAAACTTTGGAGTTATCTTTAACTCAACTGTCATTATTTCCTACATATAATTACTCTTTATATCCAAAATCATTTTTGTACTTGGCCCTTCTGTTCTATTCTAACAGCTACTGCACCTGGATTAGAGCCTCGTTATTTCTCATCTATCACAGTGCTTCCTAATGGATCCCCCAGCCCACTATAATTCCTCCATCAAATCTACTATTCACACCCCTGCCAGGGGGATTTTTTTTTTTTTTTTAAAGCACAACTCTGGCATCAATTCCCTTTAAAAAAATCTTGAAAGGCTCCCCATTGCCTTCAGAATTAAGTCCAAACCCTCTTTTAGTCTGTTCCTTTTCACTTTCTTTCCACATATGTTTCCAATATTACTTCCCAAGAGCCCTCATGTACTTTACCAGACAACTTGAGTTATTGCCCCAAACCTGTTGTGTGCTGGATCTCCTCCTTGACTTTTCATTCATGTCCCCCTCCCTGATTACAAAACTTTTTTCCTATTCACCTTTCAAAGTCTGTCCTTTCCTAACTCAAATACCTTTATCAGAGCACTCAGGGTTCTCTGCTTTTCAGGTATTTATCTTCGTTTCATCCCCTCCTTGCCAGATTACAGAGTCTCGGAGGGCAGAGATTACAGAGATTACAGTGTATTAGTGAAAATCACTCACCGGCACAGCACTGGTATAGTGTTCTGCAAGTAACGGCAGCTAAATAAAGTTTTGTAGGATTTGTTGATTTAGTGGAAGTCTCTGATTTAAGTGTGAAAAAATGAAATACTGAGGATCCCTGACTTATGGTCTGATTTACAATTTTTCAACTTTATGATGGTGCGAAAGTGATTCACATTCAGTAGAAAATGTCCTGCGGATTTTGAATCTGGACCTTTTCCCGCCTAGTGATGTGGGGTGCGATGCTCTCTTGTGATGCTGGCCAGTGGAAGTGAGCTGAAGCAAACCAGAAGGCCATGAGGATAAACAACAGATACACTTAGGACCATTCTGTTTTTCACTTTCAGTACCGTATTCGATAAACTACATGAGATATTCAGTACTATTATACAGTAGGCTTTGTGTTACATGATTTTGCCCAGCTGTAGGCTGATTTAAGTGTTGTGAACACATTTAAGGTAGACAAGGCTAAGCTATCATGTTCCATAGGCTAGGTGTATTAAATTCATTTTCAACTTAAAATATTTTAAACTTGGGTTTATCAGGATGTAAGCCCATCATAAGTTGAGGAAGATCAGTAGTACAAAGACCTGCATGTCTGCAGTGGTAAGGGAGAACAAATCTCTGGAATCTGTGTCTGATAAGCTTCCACGAGCGTGTGGCAGACACTATGCAGTGATCCAAAGGTTATCAGTGGCTGAAGAGGTCTTGCCTTTTCCAGTAGACTTGGGTTGTTCTGGGACATTTATTCCTGCCATATCTTATCCTCAGAATCCAGGTACACCCCCTATCCTCCTCCAACCCCCTCTTGGCAGAAGTAAGGGTAGATGTTACGAAACCAGACTTGTTTGTTGGCTTGTATTGGAGAAGCAAGAACCACTTTGCATGCTGGGAGAGCGGTTCTCTGGTTCTGACCCAGCACTGCGAGTCTGAGGCTGTGGCAACAAACAAATCTTCTTTGGAGGATACAGCTAAAGATCCAAAAAATCTTTGCCTGAGCTTTTAGTTTGAAATCTTAGAAGAAATCTCGTCTTCTTCTTAACTTGATGACCCTCAGTTGTGCTGGCCTGGTTATGATTCTTCAGGAGGTTGGCTTGCTTGAAGTAAATGTGCCCATAGATATAATTATAGATGTTTAGGTCCAGTTTACTAATAGGGAAGGCTAACTGGAATGGAGTCATTAGGCTGGTCACAATCACACTATCTGCTACTTCATGTAAAGGCTCCAAGTCCACTAGATGGTACTGTAGAGTCATCAGTGACTTGAGTTTTCCTTCTACAGAAGTCTACCCTCATTCATCCCTATTTTGCATAGGTGACTGAGGTCAGAGCAATCAAAAGGAGCCTGAAATGCTTTTGAAGGTGGTGTGACCGCAATCTCTTTAACTTATTTCTCATTCACCAAGAGTATGTGAATGTTAATGTCAAAAGGAATTTATTACAATAGAAGATAATATAATATCCTGATTTCTCAAATAGGGTCCCACTGTCAGCAATTGTCTTAACCTCTGTTTGCCTCCTTTGGATTACAAGAAAAATATTAGTTGTACAGGCTTAAAAAAAGATAAAAGTTAAAGAAAAAACAGTCCTTGGAAGATGAACATCTATTGAGTGTATATTAAAAAAAAATCAAAGTTTAGAGATTACAGATTTGAATTAGAGAATTTAGAATACAAAGAATATCAGAATTAAAGGGTCCCACTGTATATAAGAGGAGAGGAGAGGAGAGGAGATGGACTTTCACATTTTAACCAACTAGATTCATAATACATACTTTTTTTTAAAGATTTATTTATTTAGAGAGAGAGAGAGAATGTACACATGTACACAGGGTGGGAGGGGCAGAGGGAGAGAAACTCAAATAGACTCCCCGTTAAGCAAGAAGCCCAACGCGGGGCTCAGTCCCAGGACCCTGAGATCATGCCCCGAGCTGAAACCAAGAGTCTGGATGCTCAACTGACTGAGCCCCCAGGTACCCCAATAATATCTATTCTTAACATCTCTTAGAATCCATCACTGGAAATCATGAATTCCTTGGATTATTATAGGCACTGACCATGCAGCTCTGGAATCCCAAGACTGACCTTGTGCAAGTAGAAAGTCCACAGTTCCCAGATGGCCTTCGGAGGCAGCCATCATCAGGGGAGTACGACCTTGCTTGTCTGCCATGTTGACATCGGCTCCATGGGTGAGTAAAAGATCAACAATCTGCAAGTGCAGAGAAACAGGGATGAATGAACCAGGAAGAGCTGCTGAGTAGACATGTGCATGTTGCTCCCCACACTGGGGGATCTCCTCCTATTGTACAGGCAAGTCACCTCTCCATGTAACTTTCTACTGCAAGGGTCCCTTTAATTCCTGCAGAGTCCTAGGTACCATGTGATCTGATTTCAGACTCTCTTTAAGGATAGCCAAATGAGAATTCAACTCTGAATGTCTGACTCAGCCCCTAAGTGAAAAAGAATTTAAGATACCAAACGCCAAGATGTAGACTAAACAATCCCACAATGGAAGCTCCAACACAGGTCACTACCTATGCCAGTGCCATTTTATTGACCTCTAGGGGTTGCTAGTCTGCCTGTAGGGAATATTTATGACTAAAGTGAATACAACAATAAAGTGCCTCTGATAAAACTTTTATACTGTTTGGCTTCTAGGGCCTTTTTTCTACACAAATACTTCCAAAGATTATTACCAATCTGCTTTCTTTTCCATCCTAAGTATATAAATTAACATTTATCTGGAATTCAAACATCTGGAAAGATTGCATAGCTAGAATTTACATACACCACGTTTTCTTTTAGCAAGTTTGAGACATCTGCAAGACACCTGTTAGCAGGGATCTTTTGGGATATGAACCTTCCAGAGGACCTGTGAATATGTGGACGTGTGGATATGTGAGAAGCAGGTCACTCCATGACCACGCCAGAAGTAGCTAGTCCTTCTATACAATATAGATCATGATGATTATTTTTTTAAGAGATTTTTTAGAGATGGGCCATGATTTTGAATGTTAGGTTTCTGATATCTTCTCAATGAACGAGAATACTAATAACAAACACCCAAGTCCTCAAACCCAATGACTGCTGAGTAACCCAAACTTTGTGGGTTTTTTTTTTTTTTTGCTCTCTGCTTCAGAAGTTCCTGTCTAGAACTCACCCCTACCTGAGGGACTGGAAGTAGCTACCCTGCTTACCTGCCAGTGGCCCTGGCGAACAGTGCTGAACAGGGGCACTGCCCCTCGGCGGTTTGGCTGGGCCACTGCTGCCCCCTGTTCCAAGAGCAGACGGCACACCTCCAGCTTGCCCCTTCCTGCCGCAGCTGTCAGTGCTAAGGGCAGAGAACATAGACTGAGAACAGGTGGGTCTTGACCTCCCCAGCCCTGTGTGTAAGCATAGCAGTGCATCTGTGCTTGATTAATGTAACTGCTACTTTACCTCCAAGGATGATATTAGCTACTTTTGCCATGAAGGAAATTTTTAAAGAAAAATTATGCATAAAATCACATTCTAGTGGGCTTACAATATATGGAGACAATTGTAATAATACATTTATTAAAAATCACCTTTGATTAAACTTATTTGGTTTCATCTTTCCTACCCAGACTGTCTTCCCTACTTCTGACTTACCTCTTTTTTTGGCATCTCTTCTTAGCTACAAACCTTTCATGGGTGTGTATGTGTGGGGGGAATGTAGAGAGAGGGGCCTTGCAGAGTAAGGCTTTTTGTTTTATTTTTAAAATATTTATTTATTTAAGATATTATTTACTTATTTGATAGAAAGAGTGTGAGAGAGCACAAGCAGGGGTTGCTGCACAGGGAGAGGGAGAAGCAGGCTTCCTGCTGAGCAGGGAGCCCAACATGGGGCTTGATCCCAGGACCCCGGGATCATGACCTGAGCCGATGTTTAACCCAGGCGCCCCAAATAAGGTCTTTTTTAGAATTAGCTAGGAACCACTTCTGGCCAACCTCTACTCCTAGGCCCTTAAACCTAAAGAACCAAAGCCAGGAATGGCAGTCTCAGGTTCCTGGGCCAGTTTTCTTTTCTTCTTCATTAGTTGAGACAGAAGTTTCGAGTACATCCGCAACCATTTTCATATAAGGGTCAGAACTGTTCAAGGTAATAGTCTTAAAGATGAGAGAAGAGGTGTGACAAAGGCTCTTCTGAATATAAAATAATGGAGTCACTGATAATAAAAATAGCTATAGTGACTAGAAGGGACACAACAGGGAGAAACTTAAACAGTCTTTGTTTTGTACTATTATCAATTGTTTATGATCTCTGAGAGAATGGAGATTCATGAGGGCCTATTTCATTCTCTGAGCGCTGTGTCAATAGTAGCATGAGGGATTTGGAGACAGATTTTCTACTAAGTCCATATTTGAACAAATATATACATATATATTTCATTTGACCATGGCGTCTCAAATGCATAGGTTCAGTGTTTTAAAGAACGGAGGAGGGTGGGGAGGATGGTAAACACTGTTAGAAGGTGGCAGGAATTATGCTTTTAAAGAAAGAGGATAGAGAGCTTTGTTCCCAAACTGACTTGGACACCTGATGTGGTGGCCAGCAAGTTGTTCCTTGATCATGGCCATCTACTCCAATGGCAAACCAGAAAAAGATAGTATTTGGCAAGTGCAGATAATATTTCGGTTTGCAAATGTTCATATCTAATCAGGAAAGCAACTGAGATTCAAATCAAATGGTCACTTGAAATTTTTTTCATTCAAGGGCAACCGGTGGCATTTTGTCTTTGGGCTTGGTCAAATTCATCCACAACTGATTCATATGCAAAGTCAAACTACCTGTCAAACCACTAAGATAAGCCTTCAAGTCATCTTTTCTTTCCTCGAGGATAAGAATTTATAAAGGAGAATATGACAGTTTTAGAAGACATATTTACTCAAACTAGACGTGTCTTATGTGTATTTTCAGTTGTATTTTGGACTCTGAACAGCAGCATTTCTGCCCTATTCCTCACAGCAGGCCAGAGGTTTACCTGAGGTGAGGGTCACTTCTAAGCCCTGAAGGAGTGAGTACAGGTATACTTGACTAAGAAGTTTTGTGTCTTGTTCCTTACATCAAAGTGATCTTTGCCAACTTTATATTTCTGTTTTTTTTTTTTAAGATTTTATTTATTTATCTGAGAGAGACAGAGAAAACACAAGCGGGGGGAAGGAGAGGGACAGAGGGAGAAGCAGACCCCCCGCGGAGCAGGGAGCCCGATGCGGGGCTCGGTCCCAGGACCCTGGGACCATGACCTGAGCGGAAGGGAGACGCTTAGCGACTGAGCCACCCAGTGCCCCAAGAACCCAACTTTGTATTTCTAACAGTTCAGAAAAAACAAACAAAAAACCACAACACTTTAATTCTTGGGTCAGAACACAAGAGTAGCTTAAGAACTTGACTGAAAACCATCATGTCGCATACCTTAGTTTACACGTGTATATATAAATGAGCTCTCAGTAAAGCTGGAACAAAAATAACCTGACTGGGGTCAACAGTCATTAGGAACCATAAGGATCATCTTGTTGGTACATGAAACAAATGATTTGGAGAATTTCTAACTCTTACTTTCTGATTCCATTTAAAGTAGCTATGCAGCAAACCTCACTTTTAATGCCCTGTGTATGGTGGGGGGAGGGCAAATACATTCTTTTTCACAAAAGAATTTGTAGCCTGCTGGAGAAAATATTGCCAGTATTTCAGAATCAAGCCTTTCACCAATGATGCCAGCTCCCAGAACACTGCTGAAAACTTAACAACCAGCGCCCATCTTGAAAGCTAAAACTTCTATTGTTCACTCTAACCTGTAGTTATATTGCTCTGGCTGGCGCATTTCAACTCACTGGATAACACATTTATACGAGAGGGAATGTTCCATTTGGCTGTTTTCTTTGTTGTATCATTTCTGTTGCTTAGGTTATGATGTAATTTGGCAGGAATCTCCAGCTGATAGCTGGACATGGTCATTAACACAGCTGGCCAATTTCATCTCAGAACAACACAACTATGTACAATGGGATCTGTACTTTTAAAAAATCCAAGAGCAAAAAACTGCTTTGGCTGGATTTTATGTAAATCTTATCAAAAACTGTTAAAACTTTTTGAAAGAAGATTAAGGTAAAGTCGGTTCTGTAAAACAACACACTGGTTCTTAGAGCAAACACAGCAGTTCGGAGCCAAATCTCTTCCTTAGAGACCAGTAACAGAATTTGTTCCCTAGCTTGTCAGCAGCTGATGAGATTATCTGACATAAATGGTCCTTTTTCAAAGCGAAACATCTAAGGAGTCTGAAGAGGCAGACAGGATGCAGCACAGAGTTGGGGAAATAGCCAAAGTCGGCTTGGATGGGATGGGGATACTACACAGAATGCAGCAAAGCAAATGGTTCTTCTGTTTATCTATTTTCAACTGTGAAAGAGTGTAGCACAGACAGGTCATGCAAGACCAATGAGAGACAGGTGGTTGGGGAGACATAAACTGATCACTGCTATCCAAAACATTAAACATTTATTGAACTATTTGTCAGATGCTGTCTCTGCTCTCAAGGAACTCCAGGTTGAGTAAGGATAACAGACAAAAATTACATTGCTATCGAGTGTATAAGTTGTATGGAGGTAACACAGAGAAAGAAGTGTCTGAGAAGGTCTTCAGGAAGAGATGTTCATCTGAGCTAGATGCTGAAAGAGAAACAGAGGACTGAGAGCAGGCCAGGCACAGGGAGAGCACGTACGGCACTGAGGTGGGAGACAGCAAATTTATTGTTACTGGAGTTACTGGAGAAGCCAGGCAATAGATAAGGCTAGAGATCATGACTGGTCTTCTTAGGCTACACTATATAACTTCATTAATGGTACAGGTGGTCAATAAAGGGTTGTAAGCAGGAAAGTGACATCAACAAAGATCACTCTGGCGGAAGTCACAAGGGAGATGAATCACGAAAGGGTGACAAGATCAGAGATCAGGCAGTTGCAATAACGTAGGCAAAGGATGATAAGGGCATGAGTTATAGGCATCTCGTTTATTTTGTCAACTCTTGCTTCTTTTGGGTCATAGGACGGTTCAGGCCCTCCAGAACTGCTAGATGATTTTTAATGCTGGTCCCAGTCTAAGCTTATAGGACAAGGAAGAAGAGGGAGTGGTGAACAATCTAATTGCTTTTCTTCTGTACTGTTCCATAAGAAGTCTGTGAAAACCCTATGGGATGGGAGGAGGCCAGCCAGACGGTGGAGGCTGGATGTAGGCAGATGCTATCTGGAAGAATAAAGAGGCTGAAAAAGGAAGACAAAAGCAACCAGGATATTCTAGTGACCTGCTTTTAGAAAATCCGCTCTGTAAAAATTACATCTCAATTATTATTTCACTATAGGCTAAGATAAATTTCATTGATTCTAAGATGCACTTTTTTCCCTTCATATTTTTTTAATTTTACTTTATTATGTTATGTTAGTCAACATTCATTACATCATTAGTTTTTGATGTAGTGTTCCATGACACATTGTTTGCGTATAACATCCAGTGCTCCATTCAATACGTGCCCTCCTTAATACCCATCACCAGGCTAACCCATTCCCCCCAACCCCCTCCCCTCTAGAACCCTCAGTTTTAACACCTCTAAAACTGGGATGCATCTTGTGATTGCTGTGATAATAAAGAACTGTGTCAGTTTAATAGGCTGAGGCTTTTTTTGTAGTGGCACATAAAATAATGGCTATATAGTTTCCTATAGTTAGTGGTATCTTAGATTTGATATAGTAAGGGATACAAACTGTTGGGAACATCACAACCTTTTGATTTTCCTTAGGTAAAAATTGTGTTGTTTAGACCAGGGCTGCAGGTCACAAACCTTCGTTCTCTAAATGAGAGGGACATGTGTAAGATTTTGCCATTGGAGGAAACATCACAATTCACTGGGTCATTACACATTTTGAATGATTATGTGCTATAAGGTAGAAAGAAACATGTATATTTAGTAAATCTATCACGATAGATAGAAAAGCAACTCATAGTCTGTTCTATATTGGTGGAGAGGTATAGCAACATTTTTACACAGCACAGACATTATTTCCTAGAAATTTTCCTGAAGCCAAATAACTGTTTATAGATCTATAAATTGTATTACAGATGCATTTCATTCTAGCACTATTTAAACAGCATTTTATGTCTATAATGCTGAAATTATTTCATATATGTATCAAGTTAAACACAACACAATTCTGATTACAAGCCAACTGACATGAAGCTTTGATTTTTTTACAATCTTGAGATATGGTACATATTTAAATAAATTACTGTAACAAACTTTGTTGTGCATGTTAAAGTGAGATATTTTAAAAAGTCCTGAGGCCATAAAATTTTATTCCTTTTTTTGGGGGGGGAGAGAGAGAGAGAGAGAGAGAGAGAGAGAGAGAGAGAGAGAGAGAAAGAGAAAGAGGTGCAGAGGAAGAGAGAGAGAATCCCAAGCAGGCTCCATGCCCAGGGCAGAGGTGACATGGGGCTCAATCTCAAAACCCCGAGATCATGACCTGAGCTGAAATCAAGAGTCTGAAGTCTAACTGACTGCGCCACCCAGGCGCCCCCATAAAGTTTTATTCTAATAAGAAATTCGTATCAATAAAAATAAGTCTTCTACTTAGTTCACTCCCCTTCTTGAACATTTTTAAGAAATCCTTTCAAGTACAGCACTAGAATATGTTTGATATTCATCACTATGATTGCTAGCCTTATAATTCCTATCCATACCCTCATCAGGCCATACTCCTTTCTGCCCTCCCCTGGGGTTCCAAGTGCATAGCTGGCAACGGGAGCCTGTTGGGAGGTTCAGCAACACTGTGCTGGGCAGGGCCATGCTGACGGGAACAGTAAAGCACCATGCCCCTTCTGCAGCTCTCAGTCACAATATACATGCTCCAAAACTGCTGGTGTCCTGGTCAGTCCCTTCCCCGAAGTCTGGCCCTTGGTTTCCCGCAGGGAAGAGTCCCAGAGACAGCAGCTGTTTCCAGCTGCACGTTTTCCTTTAATCTGTCACGGGCTCTGAAGCTGCAGCTGCCTGACATCTGTTCCCTTTGGCTCTTACAGAGGGAGGGATAGTTGGAGAAGCAAATTCCTGAGCTTTGGACTATTCCACATCATGTTAAAGAAGCCATGAATGGAAACGTCACAACTTGATAGGTCGTGACAAATTTTAAATGAATTCAAGTGCCTCCTTTATTTTTAATAACACTCTGACTCTAACTAAAATACACACCCTCTCTGTTTAAGAAAATATTCCCCCTAAGTTGGCCATCTCAATATTGGTCTACTTCTCCTGGCAAACATGACACATATCTGTGGTGACTCTACAGTTTGCCCTGGCTTCATAACAACACATAAAAGGTTACTAATGTTTCTCCAGATGTTCCAGTTTAGACTTGGGGGAAAGACAACAATCATTTCCTGCAAAGACCACAAGGAAGAAGCTTCTGTTTGTGTAGTAAGTACCAAGCAATATAGACATCTCTTGGCTACAGATCAAGAGGGACTGCATGGGGCTGTGCCTTATAGGGTGGTACCTTCATTTTGCATCCAGAGAGCAGCTTTACTCAGTATATAGCAGTTTAACCACATCAGACACCACTCTGCCATGATAACACTTGGTTAAGAGAGGTGTGGATAAAAGTTTAACCTCCTGGTTTACAACTGCAGGTGGAGTTATTTTGATGGGAGAAATATTCATACCTAACTGCTACAAGAATCCCATAAAAGAATTTTCTGCTCTGGTTTGGCACATTGTAAGGAAACTTTCAGTCTTTTACAATTATTTGGAAACAAGAGCAGGGTAAAGTTTTGGTTGAAAGACAACTCCGGTGCTAATGATTTGGAGAATCCAAAGGGAAAGAGGACTGGAAGAAGGACATTGCTTGACTTTTTACTTTGGCTGAGTCGATCTCCAGTACACAAGCCATAAGACTGAGGCTGCCAGGAGAGGAAGAATGAAGGGGAGTAAGTCAGAGGGGGAGA